GAACAAAGAATCTGTAGAGGGGGATCCTATGAGAAACCATGGCAGAGCCCACAGAGTCACCTGATTTCAAACCATCCATACAAACAGGAACAGAAGAATGATTCAAAAGATGTTCAACAAAGAGAAGATAGTACTGCCAATCAGAAGTATCTGTCCTCCTCAGGTGACTCAAAGAAACACACAAATGGGGATGGTAATGAGCCATGGCAGGATGGGCTGGTCATCAGACTCCAAAACATTGTCTAATGTCAAACACAATTCAGTGAGCCACGCCTGGATATGAAGGTTGAATGTAGGAATTACAGACTGTTTTTACACCCAAGAAAGCAGGAGAAGATATGGAAGAGCTATAAAGGTGAGAAAAGCACTCCCCAAGAGTGTGAGCTATCAAAGTGGCCATTTTTATTTAGAAAGAGAAGAACTGGGAGGAGAGCATTTTGTTTTTGACATATTTGTTTAGTAAAAAAAAGGTCAGTCAATCTCCATGGATCTTGAACTAGTTCAATTGGCCAAGTCTCTGTCATATGAAGGAGACTCCAGTGATTGAATGCATGACTGAATAATGGTCCTGCACCTCTGGATCAAAGGAGAGGGAGCCCAAATATTCATTGGTGACTAAAATGGGAACAGAGACAGGAATAGTCTTAGATTTGTCAACTCGTGCTTCCACAGAGGGCAGGAGATTCTTGACATGGTGAGAGAAGGACTCCATGGGAGGAACAGAGAGATCTGTCTAGACTTCCCACTGTAGCAGTGAAACAGAGTGCAGCAGCATATGTCTAAAGAGAAAGAGGGGACAGCAATTCAATGCCTTGAGGTATGAAATGTTGTTGACAGTTCTCAAATGCTATACCTATTTTTCCTTCACCAATTTAGGGAAAGAATAAAAGTATGAGAGGTAGGAACCATTACAATTAATGCAATGTGGGTTTAATTGATACTCATAGCTGTTATGGTCTTTGCCATCACAATGAACACACATCAAAGCACCACAACAAGATGTGAGAGTGTCCAAACCTCTGGCATTGGAAACATTTGAGAGGGTTATGTATATAGGGACTTTCCTTACAATTGAGATAACCTGCCTTGACAGTGGCAGTTAGGCATGGCAATGTAAATGTCACAATAAGAATGTTGGTAGATCACATAATTCCATTTGAAATGCCTTGACTGGAGAAACCAGCAAGAATCTCTGACTCAAAGATGTTAAGCAGGCCCTTCTCAACAATCACTACTCTTGATGAATTCAAAGTAGCATGGGGAGTAACCTAAAGTGGAATATTTTAAATAAAATAAAATAAAGATTTGTCCATGAATGTATTGAGTAATTGTTTTGAATAGTCTGTGTGCAAAGTAATTTTCATATCAAAAATCTCAAATTTCCTTTGAGTAATCCCCAAAACCTCCTAAATACATTTCAAACATTTTTTAAAGCAAAACTTAACTTTATAGTTTAGCTGTTATTTTCCCTACCCTATCTCAAAATGGGATTGGTCAATTCAATCAACTTCATAACAACCAAAAGAAATCTAAATAAACCTAAATTAAACTTTTCTTTCTAGAAGGACTTCAAATTGTAACATGAAACTAGATTCGTTTATCCAAAGTAATCCAAAGCCCAACAAAGGCTAGGAGCTCTAGGATGTTGATATATAAAGTATGTTCATCTAGAGACTAACAATCCAAAGCCTCCTGGAGATCGACCCATGCACCCCAGGCCTGAAGGGATGCTTCCATGAACAGTCTAGATGAGGAGAAGAAAGACACCCGCTGATGTGCGAATCTTGTTCAACTATCAAAGGAAATTGTCTACAAGGGAAGGAGGAAGGGTGATGGGATCATCCAAGGGATCCCAATTAAGGTTCCATCTATCATTCAGAGTCCACTGAAGAGCGCACGTGTGCACGGCCAAGGGAGATTACTGGTGTCATAGAAGACCACATCCCTAAAAGTGACAGAACCTCACTTGCAGAAAGTGAGGAAGCAGATAGGGTGTGGTGAACTGACGATTCCATAGAACAGAGTCTGAGAGGAGAAGGCTGAGCCCAACTGAGGTGAGTTTTGAAAAAGACACCCAAATGTACAAAGTATTGGGTAGGAGTTAGGAAGGACTTCTCCAATTTGATTAACCAGCCTACCTGAGCAGCTTCAAGAAGGAGCCTACGAGTATGACATGCTGACTTCTGTTCAGAATGGGCCAGAAGTAGCCAGTCATCCATGTAAAAATGGAAATGCAGCCCCAAGGCATGAAGATGAAGAGTAAAATCTCATACCGCCCGACAGAAAATGTATGGAGCCAAAACCAGCTCAAAGGGTAGGGTGCAAAATTGGTATACCACCTCTCAATAGATGAACTAAAGATAAGGACGAGACCATTCCGAGATGGGAATATGCAGATAGGCATTGGAGATGTCCATCTTGGTCATCCCTAGACCTGGAGAATAAGCCCACCAGAGATTGAGGTAGGACTCCATGAGGAAATGTGGGAGATGAACAAAGCAATAGATGTGAGACAGATTGATGACATGCCTCCAGTCCCTGGTTTTTTTGGGAGCAACAAATAGATGGGAGTAAATTCCCGGTGAATGATGTGAATAGGTTTTATAGCCTGATGGGTGAGAAGGTCCTGTAATGCCTCTGATACATGCTGGCAAGCTACTGGATCCCGAAGAGAAGGGAAGGAAACAGGTACCTGGGACAGGGAGGTGGGGCAAAAAACAATTTCAAATCCTTCTGACAAAACTGGAGGAACCAAAACATCCGATGTATTCCACAAAAGTATATTAAATTAAATTAAAACACTTCAAGAAAATACGATCCCAAATACGAAACCAGACAAATAAAGAAAGACATTTGAGGGCAAGTGCTGCCACATGAGAAGTGATAGTTCGGTAGAGGCACATAGAGGGAGTCACATGCATCATGTGAGTGTATTATGTTCCTATTGGTGGATAGGTGATGCATGATGATTTGCATGAGACACATGTTGGAATTATTTGATTCCAATAAGGGGGTGCGGAAGGCTTGTGGCATGTGTAATAAAATAGTTTGCATATAGAGGGCAGCAATAAATGAGAATAGGTAATCTTGTGAGCGAAGGGAAGTATCCTCTCAGAATAAGTCAATGTTATACAAGATTGAAATATGGCAATGCTTGTTGAAAAAGCTTGACTTTGACCATGTTAAGTATGTTATTGTACCAGTAAAACAGGCAATAAAGTATTAACACTCACCCCAAACTTTTCCCTGGATTGTTGTGAATTTCACAAACAACTCTTTCCAATATTAGAAAGTAAGAAATTTGTAGATTAGTAGAAAATTCCCATCCCTTTTAGTTAATAATTGTATACAAAATGCTAGAATTTTGCCTATTTACACAATGTTTTTATACTTAATATATTATTACTACCCAATAATTTTTATTCATATATGCATTTACCAATGTACCTGTGTATGCATAAATATGCAGATATGTTATGTATCTAAATATACACACAAGTATATATTTCAATATTAATGTGTTTTGAATTAAGTTCAGAAAATCTTCAACAACATTGTTCAATCTAAAACAAAAACTATTATATAGTTTTGTTTCAAGCCAGTCACATTAGTTGTTATCCAGAAGTGCATGAATTCAGGCAACAATCATGAAATTTCAATCAAATTCACAAGCTACATTTTCATTTCACATCATTGCTTTTCAGCAAAATTTTAATTTAAGATTAAAAGCTGATACTATTTTTATACCATGGAATAAAAAAAGCATTAAAACAAAGTGATTCCATATCTCTTGGATACAGTTTTGCACAGAATTTCTTTTCAACATCTTTCAAGAATATGACTATGATATACATACCTTTCTTCCATCACTTGCATGACAATTAACATTTAATGTAGTAAGCAGGGACATCAATTTTTCTTCATTTCCACTTCGAGATGCTTCAAGAAGTTCATCTTTACGGTACTCTCCTGTCAACACTGCTCGAGCAGATTGTTCAGCCAAATCTAATGGAGTTTTTCCATCTGTGTTCCTGATGGAAGGATCTGCTCCATGTTGAAGAAGAACTGGAGGAGTTTGCAAATCAGAATTTATATATAAATGATGAAAACTAATTAAATTTGGCAAAAATAAAGAATATAATTTTCTTATACACACCAGTAAGTATAACATAAGGTTTGCTATTTATAATTGCTAACCCTCAAAAAGTGTGTATCATGGAACCAATTGAGTGTAGCACTTGTGCATGACAGAGACAGACTAGCATTTATAGTCTTTGTTAAAGTCCCCAAGACAAATTACACAAAAAATTACCTTTGTCAGAGCTTTCTAATTACATCTATGATTTCCATGTTCATACTTTCTCCATTTGTATCTGCAACCCAAGTGCACTTAGATTCCAAAACATTAAATCTTTGTTACTTTATACAAACAACAAGATTACTAGCTTATGCAACAAATTGCTTCTGAATAAATTGGAATAAAGAAAGTTTGAAACATAGAACTTACTAACAAACACTCATCTGGTTTTGTAAAACTAAAGTAGCCATGTTGTTCATATATAGATGAAAAGTAAGATTTGCAAGAGATCTAATTATATTTTACATTAAAGGTAAATTTTCATTAATTCAAATTAGTAAGTTTTCAAAGTATACATGTTCAACAAGTTTACTCACCAAGGCACAAATTACACTCCAATTAAAATGAAGCAATGAATACACCTCCAAAAAAGGCAGATTAACCAAGCACATTAAAACATACTTATCAGTCACGTAAGTGAACAAATAATGAAATATTAAATAAATTTATAATTACCCTCTAAGAAAAAAAAAATCTTCCTTTCAAAAGCACTTGAGATACTGGACTTCTTATTTTGTCATTCAAGTAACAAAGTTACACTGATGATTTTACATACATTCATCAAGAAAGATGTAAATCATTTAACAATCAGGAAATAAACTGTCCAACAATAATGATGAGTTACTTTGATTAACACAGTAGTTTCACTCACCAATACAAACATCTACTTTGCCTTTGATAGCTGCTTCATGTAATGGTGTATAATTCCAATTATCCCTCGCATTTGGATCAGCACCATGTTTTAGCAAAAGTTGCACCACTTCAGCATGTCCAAATGAACAAGCATTATGGAGAGGAATTAAACCTCCATCATCTCGAGCATGAACGTTGGCACCATTCTGAAGCAAGTGCTCCACAACATCTCTCCGGCCAAACCCTAGTACGTAAAAATAAAATGGATAATTGTTAAGCACAACTGCAACTATGATATGCTACTTACAATTACTTAAAAAATGTATCCTGCTCTGTAGATAATTCTGGAATGAATGACAGGAATCTCCTGATATGGTGTGAATAGTTTGTGTTAACAAGTGGAAGTACAAGCCAAACAAGGAAACAACTGCTAAGGCTGTTATATTCTTTCAATGTTTATCTATTCTTCCTCCTATAATGCCATTGCCAACTACATTTATGTACATACAAGTCATGGATGTTTTGACCTATGTTGTAATTAACTGACCAAAGTGTGGGATGCTACTTCTTCATTTAATTTTTCATGTGTTGTTTCCTGTGTACAAATTACAAAATGAAATCAGAATAGGAAAAAAAAAAAGAAATCACAATGTTGAAAAGATGCTCTACTACAGTGATGTTAATGTT